CTTGTAAGGTTTTTTCTGTGTTTTCTTTGATCTGTCTCTCAATCCTTTGAAGATACCTAAAGATAATTCTTTTGAATTCCTTATCAGAAAGTTCCAATGCTGCTTCTTCCTCAGGGATGTGTTCTGGGTCTGTATCCTGGGGCAGGAGAATAATTCTTGCTTAGGGTGAAAGTTGGCTACAGCGATGGGCTCAGGTATAGCAAGGATCGTGAGGATGGACAGCACCGGGCAGTGTTTTCTTCTGTTATACATAAGGTCGCTGTGAGTTTGAGATGACTTGGCAGCACCTAACAACAACAGGGTGAAATATGATACCTCAAGTGTAAATTGTATGTACATACCAATTTATAGCTAAATCTTTTTTTCTTATATAGCGTTCATTTTTATTGGCAAAGAAATCTGGAGAGAATGCAGCAAAATTTATTATTAATTCACACTCCAAATATTTTCAGAAGGACATAGCTGAACCTCATATACCGGTAAGGAAAGTTAATTACAATTTTCAGATAATACTGTGTACATATAAATCAAGCTTTCATGGCTAATATTTGAGTAACCATTTGAGTACCCTCAATAATTGAGTGAAGCACCTTTTGATGTGTGCTATTTGTCCATAATACTAACCTCTTTGACTCCTTTTTTATAAATTTCCTTCTTATGTTGAAAATTTCCCCTACTTGGCTTCTATTAAGAGCTCTGGTGGCGTAGTGCTTAAGGCATTAGAATGCTAACCAGACGGCTGGTGGTGCAAACCCACCAGCCACTCCTTGGAATGAAGATTGGGCAATATACTTCCTTAATGATACCGCCTTGGAAATCCAAGGAGGGGTTGCTATGAGTCGGATCCGACTCGACAGCAGTGAGTTTAGTTTGTTTTAATACACCAGTTATAACTCTTTTTGTTTTTCCTGTTTCCTTCACTACTATTCCTTACTCTACTGTCTGTATATATCTAGCTTAAGTTCCTCTATTTTGAACTCCAGAACGTACTTCCAGCTACCTCTTTGTTCTCTACTCATTTAGTATTTATGCATTACTTGGTATATGTTAACCATTGTGCTTAGTGCTATCAGTCTGCTGGTGAGCAAAACAGATGTGCCCCTGCCTTCCTGCAATTATCAGTGGAAATCAGCACCTCAGGTTCCTCATGTCCAAAACTATTCCCTTCCTCTCAAATCTCTCTGCTTCCCAAAGCATTCACCCAGTAACATCCCTTGTACTTGTCACACAGTGACTCCTAGTGACAAATAAGGAAGTCACTGTAATTGTATAGGTGAAAAATACTGAAATCTTTTGTTTAAGATAGTGGCAGTGGTAGAACAATCATTTGTGAGTTAATCCCTTCCCCTTTATGTTTTTGATTAGTAGTTGTGTACTTAGCTTAAGGTTTGCTTTTACTGGAAATCTTCACGTGTTCACTTTCTGGTGAACATAGTGGGCCCTTGAGCTAAACACAGAGCTAAGTCCAGCATCTAGAAGACTAGAAGATAGTGAAACAATCTGCTTGTTTGGGAAATTGGAAGGATTTTTTTTTTTTTTTTTTTTTTAAGTTGGACTGGTTCCCTGAAAAAAAAGACATGATACAGTGATAGACAGTATCTGATGTATGGAACATGAGTTGGAATAAAGTAGTTTTATTTTGGTGTATGTGTAATAATAATTTTATCCTACTCAGTTATCCTTTTACTTTGACCTGTTTGTAGTAACTTTAACGATTTTGTTTTTCTAGTGTTTAATGCCTGAGTACTTTGAACCGCAGATTGAAGACATAAGTGAAGCTGCCCTGAAGGAACGAATTAATCTCAAAAAAGTCAAAGCTTCTGTGGATATGTTTGATCAGCTTTTGCAAGCAGGTTACTACATTTAATTAAAGTCACTAAGAAAGTGGTCTTTGAATATGGGTCACAGCAATTTGATCCAGATAGTTTTGAGTAAAAGTTACAAGTACCATTTACTTACCCTGCTATATGGCTCTGCTGCTCGTACGTTTAATATTTTAATAAATAATATTTCAGGTTCTACTTTAGCTTCCTTTTAAAATTATAGATGAAATAGAGTTGTAGCTTTATCTATTATGCTCTTTTGCTGTATCACTGGTAGAGAAATTATATGACCCTTCTTTCTCAGTTTCCAGTTAGTTTTTAACATCAGCTGGGTACATAAGGAATTTAAATTGTGCTGTACCTTTTAGGTATTTTTGGAGGGCAGGGCCAGAGCTGTAAGTTCAGTGGTCACATAGACAGATACTTTACAGATACAGATACTTTAAAAGGAAAGAGCACTAAACTTCCAGTTAGTGCTAACTAACTAACTAGCTCTGTGACCTAACTCCTCAGAGCTTCTAGCTATAAAATCTTGTAAATTGATTTGGATGACCCTCCAGGGGTCTCAGTATGGTTAGCATGACTGATAAGGTACCATAATAATGTGCCTGTAGTAACATGGAAACATCCAACATTATTTAAGCAAGAGACTAGTTTATGGAATCCAGAATGCTGTTCATTGATTTAGGATAAAATGCAAAAGATGGAATCTGGGCCGAATCACTGAATACAGACTTGAACACACAAGAAACATTTACAGAGAGCTGTATTTAATTTGAGAGTTTGTGTGTGCAGCCTGTTACAGCATTGCATGTACAAATGAAGACAGCAGATTGTGATTTAAGTCTGCATTAAAGTTCTTAGTCCTAAGGCCTGTCTTCTTGTTAAACTTACTCTGTGGTATAGACATATGCATTCATTCAGTAAACTTTTCTTTTTTTAAAGACAGTGTGTCAGGCCCATAGTTTATAATAATAGAAGGTGCCAAACACACTAGCAGGGGGAGGGATCGTACGTTCATTTATTGGGTCCCTCATAAGTGCCAAAAAGAGCTCTAGTGGCATAGTGGATAAGGCATTTGGCTGCTAACCACAAGCAGTGATTCAGGCCTACCAGCTGCTCTGCAGAAGATAAGAGCTTCTATAAAGCTTTACTCTGTAAAAATCTACAGACTCAGAAACCCAGTGAGGGTCACTATGAGTCAGAATCAACTCAATGGCAGTGGGTTGGGTTGGGTTGGGTTTGAAATAAGTACCAAAGACTCTACTAAGAATTTAATATGATTCTTACAACAACTTATAAGTTGGAAGGCTTTTGTCATTTTATGAAGGAAATTATTAATTTTTCCAAGGTTAACATAGCTCTGAAATGTTAAGGATAGGTGCATACCCAGTCGAATTAGACTTCATAGCCTGTGCCCACTCCACTCTGCCATGCTTTCTCCTGGGCTTTTAAATTGCCTGATGGGCATTTATATTATCAGCATATTTTATGTAGAAAGATGCAGTTCGTCTTGTAAAATAGTAAATTATCTCATGCCTTTCTTTCTTGTGCCCTTTTCTCTCTCCTTAACAAGTTTCAAAGGCTATTAATATTAGACACCTTAAGCTGCTGGGCAAGCATCTCAGGGGGGACCTAGGTCGAAGTAGAACTGGTTGCTTGTATTTATAAAAATAAACTGAGCCAAAGGGACTGAGTGGAAATAGTTTGCAGTGTTCACTTTTGAGATGATAGGTGAAGTTATAGGAGCTCTGGTAGCATAGTGGCTAAAGCGCTTGACTGCTAACCAGAAAGCTGGCGGTTCAAACCCACCAGCCCCTCCTCGGAAGGGAGGTTGGGCAATCCTACTTCCGTAGTGATACTGCCTCGGAAACCCAAGGAGGGGTCGCTATGAGTCGGGGCCCACTCGACGGCAAACAACAACAGGTGAAGTTATAAAACTAATCATTTCTGTCAGTATATGAGTACCAAAAGTAAGTGAACCTCAAGGTCAAATTTCATCTTATATTTTAATTTTTTTTATGTCATGCTACATACTTAGGGAATTATGGGGTATTTAAGTTGATGTTGAATGCGCAGTCATTGATAAAGTGGTAGATTGTATTAAGTATATAGCCAACAAAGTCACAGTTAATAGAAAAAGTACAGAATTTTAACCTAATTTTTTTTTTTTCAGTTTGGGTATTTCAAACTGTCTTTCCTTTTTTTTTCCCTTCCCACATAGGAACTGCTATATCTCTAGAAACAACTAATAGTCTTTTGGATTTACTGTGCTACTATGGTGACCAAGAGCCCCCAGCTGATTATCATTTTCAACAAACTGAAAAATCAGAAGAATTGGTAATTGCCCTCTAGAATTCAGATCTTTTGGGATTGATTTATAAAGTTTCTCTTGAAAGTAATAATTTTCTTAAAATAAGGCAAGTTCTTTGGTCATGTGTCAGGGTAGTAGTAAGAGCCTGATACTGAGGTATGGTGCAGTAGTCTCGATTAAAGAGTGGTGGATGCAGGAGGAAAAGAGATTTAAACAATTACTTTAACAATTCCAGTTATCTTTTTAAAGTATTTTGACCATGCTTACCACATAAAAGCAAAGCTTTGACTGGGAATGTTAGGGAAGACCCCCTCTGTTGTTGCTACTTCAGTGACAACATGATGATGTATAATGAACAAAAAGACTCCGTGGCCCCTGGCTCCCTCAAAAGTTCATGCACACATGGGCAGAGGGAGGGAGCACATTAGACTGGGTGTATAGAAAAGTATTATGCCAAGGGCTGGTCTGCATGTTGAATCATACCTGTCTCAAACCAGTTTTATTTCTAGGAATAAGTCCCAAGGAAACCTTTGGATCAGGTGAACAAAGACTCTTCATATGAAGATATAATTGCAAAAATGTCAAACAGGTCCCTCCTCCCAAAAAAAAAAGTCAAGCAATGTCCAATATGGTTGATTAGATTATGATAATTATATATCAAGTAGTGATTGAGAATGCTAATGTATATATATTTGGGTATAGAAAGACTCTTATCAATAAAAACCCACTGCCACTGAGTCAATTTCAACTCAGCAGTCCTATAGGACAGAGTAGAACTAACTGCACCATAGAGTTTCTAAGGCTGTAAATCTTTACAGAAGCTGATTACCACATCTTTCTCCCATGGAGCAGCTGATAGATTTGAACACCAACCTTTTGGTTAGCAGCTGAGTGGTTAACCACTGTGCCACCAGGGTTCTACCATATATCCTTAAATATTTGTGTCTCTGAGTGATAAGATCATGGGTGGGTTTTTTTTGTTTGTCTTCTGTAATTTTTCTCCACTAAATTTGGATTATTTATATACAGTAATAACTTAGCCCTTTGAAGTGAACAGGCAGTGGAGTTGCAGTCTCACTGTCTTCCAGCATATCTGTTCCAAGAGCCACTGGCCTGTCTGACCCTCTGCCCCTCCGGCCCCATCCCGCCGGGTTCCTGAGGTAGCAGGCTACAGAGCCAACACTGTACATCACTATATGTCAGCCTCAACCCAGAGCTTGATATATAAATGTAGGAAAGATTTATTTGTTCATTTATAAAACAAATTTAGCTTGTCAGTGCTTAAGACCCCAAGACTTCATACATGTTGGGACTAATCAAGACATTAACTACATCTCTACCCAGATACATTGTTTTCTCTTTCTTTCACCCTCATAAGGAATAGTATTTTTGTATAGATCAAGCCAGACTGCTTTAAGGTATTTTCTTTAAGGTGTTTTTTGCCTCAAGGAAACAGATTGTGGTATTTGACTTTCCAGTTTGTCTCTCTGGGCCGGGCCAGAGGCAGCACTGCCTTCATCTTGTCTCTATTCCTTGTTGCTTGAGGGCCAACTTTGCTTTTCATATGTAAATTGACTGATAGGTTTCCTCTTTGCCTTCTACTAGATATGTTTTTCCTTTACTTTTCTGAAGTTCCCTTGACCTTCCTGATTTTGAATGTTCTACCGGGGAGAATGCATTCCATTGTTGTCTTAACTCTTTTTTTAAATCACTGTTGGTGAAAATTCATTTCAGGAAGAAGCTACAGAGGAAAGTAATAAGAAATCTAGGAAGAAGACCACTCATGACTTTACCTGGAGGTATGTTGATGTACTTGTTGGTCTAGTTGTTTTGACTCGTAGTGACCAGAAAGGACAGAGTAGGACTGTTCCCATAGGGTTTCTTTGGCTGTAATCCTTATAGAAGCAGATCCCCAGGTCTTTTCTTGCACAAAGGGGCTAGTAGGTTCAAACCGCCAACCTGTCTTTTAGCAGCCAAGCTCTTAATCATTGCACTACCTGCGCTTCTTACTTATAAGTCTGTGTTGCATATCATTAAAAGTTTGTATTATAATTCCTTAAGGACATCTGGTCGCACAGTGCCTAAAGCATTTTTGACTACTGACCAGAAGGTTCAAAACCTACCAGCTGCTCCATGGAAGGAAGATGGGGCAGTCTGCTTCCATGCAGATTTACTGCCTTGGAAACCCAATGGGGGTTGCTATGAGTCAGAATCGATTAGATGGCAGTGGGATTTTTTTGAAATTAGAGTTCCTTACAATGCATTGACTAGCTTTCATCATCTCTGTCCCTCCCATCACCCAAAGGACATAGTCTGTGATCTAAAATAGTTTGTTTTCAGTGTGTAATACAAATTTCAAAAGTTTTGCATATGTACACACACACACACACACACACACACGTTTGGATCTCTTCTTTTTTTAAATGTCACAGCAGCATAAAAATCTATTTAGAGGTTGATGTTTATCTTTTTTCCATTTATATAACTTTGACATGATTTCTTTGGTAGTTTCATCAACAGTACCTGTAATATATACTAAGTCATTTTTTATTCTGAAAGATTTGATATATTTTGTGTAAAATATACTAGAATGTGGTGCTAAACTAAGTTTATTTTCTAACAAGCCCAAGTATTCAACAGTTTCAAACAAACAGTAAACATTTAGCTAAATTTGTGAGTTTAAATAAACTGAGGAGATGTATCTAAATAAGTCATTTCTCATGTAAAACTGGAGGAAGAAAGCTACTGTTTATCCTATCTTTAATGATATGATGAATTTAATAGAATTAAAGATAAAATTTCTTAGAGTTGATTTTAGTAATTTAATATAGTGGTTAAGAGCATGGACTTTGGAATATGTTCCTGGCCAAATCCTGTTTCTGTATGATTGAATATGAAGACATTCATTAAGAGGAAAAGAAAGCCAAGGGACAGACTGTTTGGTATAATGTGGTACCTTTTTATTTTTAAGAATAAATGATAAGTGGATATGTGCTATAGTAGGACTGGGATTTAGAAAAAAACATTTGTAGATATTTGCCTCTGGGGAGTTACATCTGAGGGTTGATGGTGGGTGGGGGAATTTTACTATATAATCTGTTTACAGTTTGCTTTTTATTTTTTAATACCATGGATATATATTCTTCATAAAGATTTTCCTTTTAATCCTAGTTCTGCCACTGAACTCATAGCCTTGGGTAACTTAAGGTCTCAAAGCCTTGGTTTTTCTCATTTTCACAATTTGATAACCATGTCTTCCTCTGTGGGTGGTTAAGAATTAAATGAGGTAGTATGTGTACAGTGTACACTGTGCCTGCAATGTTATTAACTCTTAATAAATGATGGTAGCTATTGTGTTCCTGTTTCCCCTGGTTTACATTACACTTTTGTGTCTAGAGAAAAAAACAATGCTGAGAGGATCTTTGCCCTAATGCCAGATAAAAATGCACATTCCTATTGCACAATGATCCGGGGAATGGTGAAGGTACAGTAATTTATATGTTTAATCCTTAATTTCTAGTAGAAAAGATTTCTCAAACTCAGACTGCTGACATTTTGGACTGAATAATTTATTGTTGTGGGGTGTTGCCTTTACATGTAGGATGTTTAGTTTCTCCCTGTCCTCTGCCCACTGGATTTCAGTAGTATCCTCACCTCCCAAGTCATGACAACGAAAAACATCTCCTGGCTTTGCCAGCTGTCTCCAGGAAAGCAGAATTGCTGCATGTAGAGAACCCTGCTTAAGAGTTTAAGCTTCATGAGAATAAGGATCTTGTCAGTTTAGTTTACTACTGTATTCCCAAAGTCTAGAATAATAAATGTGTATGTGCTTCTTGAATGAATTTAATTTTTATCCTCTCTCTTCCAGCACCGAGCTAATAAGCAGGCATTAAACTTGTACACTGAATTGTTGAACAGCAGACTTAGTGGTGAGTATGTTTTAGGAATTCCCCTTCTTTCCTTTCTTTTTCAAGAATCTGTGTGGAATTGTTTGGCTCTTGCCTCCCTTTTGTGGCATCAGTGATTGACATAGGAGTAAGAGTTCCAGAGAGGAGAGTGGCTTTCCAGTGTTGTGGACACATGGTAGTTAGCTAGAAACACAAATACAGGGCCAATTTTCTTCATTTGAGATGCTTAGTAGTTAATCTTCAACCCCAAATTGTGTTCATGTAGTTTTCTTCTTTTACAGCTGATGTATATACCTTCAATGCTTTGATTGAAGCAACAGCATTGGCAGCGAATGAGAAATTTGAGGAGAAATGGAATAATATGCAGGTAGGAGGGATCCTTGTTTTGTCTTCTAATAGGCCTTTAAGTATCTGTTAGCAGAAATAACATGGGCTAGAGTCAATTACATTCATTGAATACCTACATGGCAGTCATTGTGTTGGGCACACCTGTTATACTGCCCTTCCAGTAAACCTGTAAGTTGTTAAATAGCTGTGTATGACCGTGGGAAGAGTAAGTTACTTGACCCGGAGCACATAGCTAGAATTCAAGATGATCTGCATTGCTTTATTCATTTATTTTTTAAAAGAGATTTTTAATCACAAAAGTAGCACATTTATTACAAAATTAACATGCTGGGTTCAGAAAAAAGTTCACTCTAGTGTAGTCTTGTCCTTGAATCTTGTTTTTGGATGGCTCACTGAGCAGAGGGCTGAACACAGTTGATCACCTTGGTCCAGTGGGAGTGGGGTGACTGAAGTGGGGAAGGGGGCTTCTCTAAAATGCTTTCCCAGAAAAGACACTGGTCCTTCTAGTTAATAAATAGTTTTTAAACTGTGGTTATCATCATTAATCTGCTTTAGACTTAGCTTGAATGCAAAAAACTTTTTCTTTTTTTTTTCAAGTGTTAAATACTAGATTTTTGGGCAAATTATTTACCCAGGCATAAAAAATGCTTCTACTTTTGACTTACCTAGGAGCTGTTGAAACAAATGGTTGCACAGAAGGTGAAACCAAATCTACAGACTTTTAATACCATTCTGAAATGTCTCCGAAGATTTCATACATTTGGGAGAATGCCAGCCTTGCAGACTTTACGTGAAATGAAAGCCATCGGGATAGGTGAGGGTGCACCCTAGAGTCCCTCACTGAAGAAGACACATGGTGCTGACCAGAGATTTCAGGTCCAAATAATCAAAGATGTTATAAACTGCTTATTTTACTATTTAGCATAAAATACTAGGAATTTTGTTTTCACCATTTGGCACACTTAATTACATGTGCTTGCTATGTTGGGAGCCCTTTGTCATCTTCATGTTCTGAATAGTAAATTACATTGTCCTCTCAGTAATCTGAGATACTTTCATATGGATCTCTTAATTCTGGAAAGAATGTAAGCTCCTTTCAAATTCTGTGATATCATCTAGCGTAATGAACCCAGACATGTACTAATGTGTTGTACAGTTTTTAGTAATTATTTAATGTAATGTTTTAGAAACCCTTTCACTTCCATATGGTTGTATATTCTTAGATGAAGAATCATGGTGTAAGTACATTAGCTATAACATTTTTGTAGTAGGCATTGGGACTTTCTAAAATAATGTCATCTTTATAAGTCTTTCCACCTTTACATGTCTGTGTTCAAAGGACTAGAAATGAATCTTGATTAAACATCAACATCAGTGATTTTAGTTCAGTGTACCTTAATAAGATATATGTTAACTTTGTTTTAACTTATACTTTTTTCTTATTTTTTTATCTACCTGGTTATTCGAGAACCCTCACTTGCAACCTATCACTATATTATTCAACTGTTTTATCATCCTGGTATGTATTAACTTACATTAGTTTACATAGAAAGTTGACTAGCTCCCTTGAGTTTACGTGACAATTTTTTACGCATTAACCTTCTTTGTATATGACTTGAAAATAGTTCACAAATTAAGATGTACAGCCTGGGAAAAAAGTTACTCTGAAGGTCACAACCTTGTTTGTGATGTGCAACTTGAGCTGGAGGAGAAGGGGTTACAGAAAGTGTTTTAGTTTAGAGTACCTTGTGCTCACTAGAGCTGCAGTGGCGAATGTAATAGTTACTAGCCACGTGAGGCTATTTGAGCTAAATAAAATTTAAAACCCCTTTGTTGAATTACTGCTCAGTGCTAATAGTACCATATGCGGTGATACAGAGTGGAACATTTCCATCTTTGTAGTAAGTTCTATTGGACATTGCTGTACCAGAGTAGCATTATGCTTTGAAGCCTTGAAGCTTCCATTGGTCACCTACTTTTAGGTCAGTGAGTCCCTGCTTGAGTTGTGTTCTGTCACATGGAGCCTAAGTAATGCCATCATGGCTGTAGTGATTAAATTAGCCACATACAGTGTTTTATGTGGTGCTTGAAAGGCATATGCTAGGCATGTACAACCTGTTTGGTCTTACCTGTCTGCTCCTAACCTGAGAAAGAACCTTAGGTTAAGAAATGACAATACTAGTCTTTCTTTCCTGCATAGACTTTATAAAAACAACTGAGAAAAACTTTTCTTTTTGATTTAGAGGATTAATATTACAAAATCCACATCCTCAACTCTTAGGGAAGTTGTTATATTTTGGGAAAAGTACAAATAACTGACTTTATCTTGAAAAGAGGTAAGCAATTTCCATAATAATTGAGTATTCCAAAATTATACTCAGCCTGGATGAGATTGTGGTGAACACTGATGTTTCTAACCTCAAAACCTATCCCATTCCTCTGTGCCCTATCGTGTCACTTTGGTTCAGTTGCTAACTAAAGTCAGTGGCATTTATGTTTCCTAAGTAGCAGCCATGATCGTATTTGGAAAGGTGTAGGGTGTGTCAGTTTGTCTTCTGTGTATGAATTGGCTGCAACATAAGACCCAATAATAATTCCTAGAAGTTTACCCCAAGGAGAGCACTAAAATTATGAAAATAATACATTGGAATAGAATTTTATGTAGTAAATAAAATAATTAAGAATACTAGCATATGGAAACCTGATTAAGGAAACTTTAAAAGCACATTAGAACTGTATGTGTGAGGACACGGTAGATAATTTTGATGTGTTGATTATGAATATTGTAGGTGGATTTTCTGATCTGTTAGTACTCAGCTTGTGATTTTAAAGCACTGCCCACATTTATTTATTCTACCTTTTTTTTTTTTTCCTTGCCTTTCTCACCTTGATTATACTTTAAAGGAATATGCATATTTTTTAGGTATATAGACTTGATGGTAGGGAGGGGTGCAGGTGCATGCCTCCCACCTCAGTGAAAGTCAAGCTTATGAAGAGACTTAAGAAGGAAAAGAAGCGCCTCTGATTGGAGCAGATAGATAAAGACCTGTGGTTGTCCCAGAGCTTACAGAGACATGCCTTCTACAGGGTGCATTTATTCCATTAGTAAGCATTTGCCTCCCCAAACCTATGCAAGGCCATAGGCAAGAGATGGAGGGAAGAGAAATGTGTACCTGCACTGCGTGTTGTGAGTTTGCTGGTGGTATGAGAAGTGGTCTCATAAAACCCACTTATGTCTTACCTGCAGAAGGCTCTTCAAAAATGTCATCCCTCATAATCTATGATATAATGAATGAATTAGTGGGGAAGAAATTTTCCTCAGAGGATCTGGATGATGGTATGTACGGAAATTGCTCCCTCCCGTTTTCCTCATCAAAAGCCTGTTTTTCTGAGTGCCAGTTAATTAGAGGCTTTATATATTTGGGTAATAAGGACAGATTTTGGTAATGTTTTGGGTTATTACTGTGAGAAAGCCAAAATGTTTGTTACTTTGCTGTATACTTCATCCTCCCGTGAGTTTTTATTCTTTTAACTTTATCTTACATGTCAAGCAGTTACATTGCCAGGACTTTTATGAATGTTACTGACTTCTGGAAAACCTTTATCATCCATCATAACCAAGCTTCTCACTAACTTTTATTTTCAGATATGTTTTTTCAGTCAGCCATGAGAGTTGTAAGTACCATTTCTTACCTAATTTTGTTCCCCTTTTTAAAAAAACGTTACTATCCGTTTCCTAAAATTTATCTGTAATTGGACTTCAGCTTGTCTCAGCCTGGGATCTTGCCCTGGTCCTTTCACTTCCTAACTCATTTCTGTTCACGTCTGTCTGTCTGGTTTTTCTCTTTTTCTTTGAACTCTAAAGTTTTTAATCATATAACATTTTTACCCTGTATTTATTATATATATTGCATTTATCCATATCTCATCTGATAAGGTTTCAGAATATTTTTTCCTACATCTTTTTTAATTGATGACTTTTGATTTACTTTTTTGTTTAATCATACTTACCATAGAAAAAGTTCAGGTAGTTTCAGAATGAAGTGCATCTTACTCTCTAAAGATGATTACTTTATAGCTAGGGCATGTGTTTCCAGATTTCTTCCTTTGTATTCAAATACATATACACCCAGTTACACTTCTCTGGGGCTTTGTTTGTTGACAGCAATACAGTATTTCATAGTTAGAAAAGACTAATTTACAGTAACCAGTAATAAGTTGAAGCAGCATAAGTATTTCTATAAATGACTGTACTTTTTATGTAATGGGAGCTCTTTGGCTGATAAGGATTCCAAGGTGATACTTAATACCTGCATATTTTCAGTGTTCATCCCTCAGAGATCTAGAACTTGCTTACCAAGTACATGGCCTTTTAAACACTGGAGACAACTGGAAATTCATTGGACCAGAGCATCGCCGTATCTCCTATTAGTAAGTGTGCTAGAAATGTATCCCTTGGCATTTTTGTATTATTGACTCTGTCTAAGCAACCATTGGTGGATTCTGCAAATGAGAGGCTGTTGAGGGCCCTCCATCTCTTACCTGCTCTGATTTTAGACAGCATGTCTCTGATTTAATAGTAAATTTTAATTCAGTGCTTTTTTAAAAAAAAAAAACACTTTAAAATTCATGTAATCTTTTTTTCCCCCACTCTGGTGGCATAATGCCTAAGGCATTTGACTGCTAACCAGAAAGCTGGTGGTTCAAACCCACCAGCCACTCCTCAAAAGGAAGATGAGCAGTCTACTTCCGTAGAGATACCACACTGCCTCAGAAACCCAAGGAGGGGTCGCTGTGAGTCGAATCTGACTTGATAGCAGTGGGTTTTTGTTGTTTGTTTGTGTACCCCTCATACTTTCTATTTTTGAATTGTTAGATCAGGATAGGTCCCTAAAGATTTTTATGTCCCAGCCCCTTGCTTTTGTTTTTAAAGATAAGGATATTGGAGCCCACATAGGCTCTGTAAATGGTTTTGCTTAGGCAAAAACTTAAGGAAGCAGCCTATTAGTAGATGTGTGGTGATTGTCTTACGTGTATTTGAATCCTTCTTCACGTTGAATGTTTTTCAGATGAATACACTATTTAATATCATGAATTCTGTGTAACATGTAATCCTATAACTGTGCTTTAATTTAATTACTCCTCTATTGTAATTTACCTTTTCTTTCTGTCACAGTTCCAGGTTCTTCAAGTTGCTTTGTCTAATGGAACAAATTGATACAACCCTGAAGTGGTATAAGGACCTGATACCTTCAGTAAGATGGTTCATTACTTACCATTTATCATGGTAGATAATTTTATGAGGATTTTAATTCATTAATGCTTTAAAAAATGTATTTGCATTTCTCTTAATCAGGTCTTCTTTCCCCATTCCCAAACATTGATAGATCTTCTCCAAGCATTGGATGTGGCCAATCGACTAGAAATGATTCCTCAGATTTGGAAAGGTCAGTTTCAGCTTGTGTGTCCAGGCCTATGTCACTTAAATGCCCTATGTTTTGATTAACAAACGATTAACCATAATTGTTGATGATAAAAACTTCTATTTTTTATTTAAACACATTAATTGAGGGCTGCTTTCAAGGTGACTTCTTCGAGCTGCATATTGGATTACATGAGTAAAAGTGTACTGAAAACCACCTAAGATAGTTCTCTCATGACATAAGAAAAATGCTGAGTTTTGCACCCCGTTGTGTGACATGTCCTAGGGTGATAAGTCTGGTTAAGCAGCAGATCCTGAATCTGTTTGCATGTCTCTGAATCCAGTCCTGTTCATTCCTGTGTACCATGTTACGTAACTTTGGTTGCTCACCAAAGTCAGTGATGTTTAAGTATCTACATTAAAGCCATGAGTCTGGTTTGTGTGTGTTGTTCTGTCTTGTGTACGATTGGCTGCAAAATACATCAGATTCTTTTATTTCTTCTACCAGGTGATTACTGTTACTATCATAAAGTCACTTTCTATCTATCTCATTTTCCATATCTGAGAAACTGAGATCCTACCCTATTACTTCAAAAGACTGTTCTAGTTCTTGTGTATAAAAGAAGAGTAAAAATTTCAAAAGTTCTTTAAAATGGTGTCCTACCATTGGAAGTATAGCTATATACTGAGTTTAATAGGATGACAAGCCCACTCACATAACACTGATCAGGAACAGGTTATTGGCATTGCTTTCACTACTGTTTTGCTCTTTATTGCCATGAATTATCCTGCTGGTTTTCTTGAAACCTGAAACAGATACTGTTAGCAAGTTATGTTCACCCACCAAAGAATATGGGCGACAGCTGACAGTGGACACATGATGATGACCACTCCTTACTGTGTTCCTTTCTTTCTCAAGATAGTAAAGAATTTGGTCACACTTTTCGCAGTGATCTGAGGGAAGAGATCCTGATGCTCATGGCAAGGGATAAGCACCCACCAGAGGTAAGGATATATTGAAACTCAGGTTGGTTATCGTTACTAGATGTATGCTAATCAGAATGTCCTTTAACACTGATGTCCTTATATAAGGGTCGTTCCAGTCTGTCCTTGTGCAGAATTTTACCATCTGAATACAGATTTAAATTAGACTCATCTAATTTACAGATACAGCCATTTCTAAAGTTATTCCTTTTCTGTAAAGCAAGCAATATAAAATAGTTTTCTCTGTCCTGGTTAATAGCACCTTAAAATTTTTATGTCTAAGAAAAAAAGAAAGAAAACTCATAGCTGAATTGGAAGATGAATTCTTTATCCCAGGACAGGTTGCATTCTTTTCTGTTCTCTCTTTACTGCACTCATTGAATATGATATGTGTGATATGTTCAAATGGTAAAATGCATTGCTCAAAAAATTTAGTGGTCCTGTGGGAGTCTCCTGAATGCAAATACTCATAAAACCAGTTAGGCAGTTCTGCTGACTTCGAGAGTCTTTCAGCTCCAGGTGGCATTTGCTGACTGTGCTGCAGACATCAAATCTACTTACGAAAGCCAGGATGCCAGGCAGACTGCCTCAGATTGGCCATCCATACCTCTGAACTGTATAGCTGTCCTCTTTTTAAGGGCTGGCAGAACCCAGGAATCCTGGTGAGTATATAAGTGTAAATTAGAAGCATTTGTATTTGAATTTAAGAGAGCGTTTACCCTCAGTAGAAATCCTCTAATTAGACTCCATGATTTGTAGTTTATCAGAGCCCAAACTAGAATATAGAACAAGTTTTCTATGTAATGAGTTTTCAATGGGAACTTAAAAATAAGGTGATCTAAGAAGCTTATTTTTGAAGATGTTTTGAACACTGGGGTTACTGAAGTGTCATTTTATTCATAAATGCGTCCTTCTCACCCTCCGAGCATAAAATGTGGACTAGGTATTCAGACTTCTGGAAACTGGCATTTGCTAAGCATGGCCTTGACTTAAACCTCTGACTGTGTCTGGTTTATGCCACTATGTTCTACCTATGTGTTTTCATCAGCACTTCATTCATGGCCTTAATTTTCAGTGTTTAATTATGCATGGTGCATGATCATTTTGCCTGAAGGAAAGAAGTAAATAAAGGGTACTCTGTGAGGGTAGTTACAGTTTGATGGTTTTGCTGTATTTTATTTTACATATAGATGTGTTGTTCCAATAGTAAGTGAGGGTTCTTGTGCATGGCTTTTTCACACGAAGGTAACTTCATTGGAACATATGACTGGCAGTCCAATATAGGGCTGTTAAGTGTATCCAAAGGAAGAGGTGAAAGTTTGCCAACTCACTTGGTATTAAAATTGCAGCTCATTCACTCAAAACAACCTGCTAAGAACTATATTACTAGTGACAGAAACATTTGCTGTTAGTAATTGCTTGTTAACTCAGGCAGGCTGACATACACACGCTGTGAATCAGGCTGTGATGATTGGCGCAGGGGTACGAACCTCAGCTGAGCCATGGGAGCTGAATGTCTGTGCTTTTCCTTCATCCTGCATGTGGCAGGTTGATGGTGAGCACTTTCATGAGACTGATGCCTCAGTCTGAGCCTGCTCTTCATAACGTAATTTAGGACAGACAGAACTCATGCCCTGTTTAAAAGAGAATACAGACCATGCTCTATCCATGCTTTGGTTCCAACTGTCCACAGATGTAGCCCTTTCCTGGAGGACAGAATGATCACTGGCTGGTGTGAGTTGGAATCCTTTAATGCCTTGCATTGCTTAGGCCCCCACTAATTTAGTTGGGCATTTTGTAAAAGCATTTATAGGGTGTAAAATCAACCTTAACGTTCATTTAGTGGTTAAAAAGCAGAGTTTTCTGAAATTCCAGAATATGATACTTGCCAGTGTTCAAATTAGAAATCAACCTTCTGCTGCTTTCTGGCTCCTGTTCTTACCTTTCTGTTGCTATTTCTGTCCTGTCCTGTCTGTTTTCTGTCCTTCCCTTTCTTCTGGGAGTCTGCTGGAGGATGGACCCCAGCAGTTCTCAACACTGGCCACAGCATAGCAGATGGACTGTGAATGCGTAGTACGGGTAGATGGGGTTTGGGGAAGGTGATTGTGATACAGAATCTGGTAGAGCCCACAGATTTACAACTTGAGGAACTAACACAGTAGCTAGGAAGACGAGGACACTTCATGTCTGAGTCCAGGGAGAGGACAGCTGTCAGCTGGTTGCCTTCTGTTTTTCTATTCACATTCATAATCTTTCTCCTGTCTCATCCTGAACAGGAAAATGTTGGGGCTTTTCAGAAAGCATAATAAGATCCCAAGGTAAGTTGAAGTTAAAAAACACCACCTGCATATAGCCTAGGGCTTGACTCGTACTGCACAGTGATTGCGTTTCTTCACCTACTGCAGCCACTGCAGTCTGGCCCTCTTCTGATAGGCGTGCACACCGACAGTCTCCCCACCATCAAAGGCATCTGTGCTCAGTGATCGCAGTGCAACACACTGGGGACACATTGAATAGGTCCTCAATGAATGCACAGTTAATGAATGTTCATTATCTGTTTGGAGCTTTAAAAGTGAGACTTCATGTGATTTTTGCCTTCAGAAGCTACTGTTAAGGATTTTATTACTGAACTAAAATTGTAAAATGTTAAGATTTTTGCATATATACATGACTGAAGTGGATGTTGTTGTTGTTCTGTGCCATCGAGTCAGACCTGACTCATAGGGACCCCTCCATGGGTTTCCGAGGTGGTATCACTACGGAAGTTGATTGCCCAACCTTCCTTCTGAGGAGTGGCTGGTGGGTTTGAACTGCCAGCCTTCTGGTTAGCAGTCAAGTGCCTTAGGCACTATGCTACCAGAGCTCCTGACTGAAGTGGTAGAGGGGTTCATTTGGGCAATGTTCACATTTAGCTTTTCATTCACAGAAACGAATTGCTGAATGAATTTATGGACAGTGCAAAAGCATCTAACAGCCCTTCCCAGGCCATTGAGGTAGTGAAGCTGGCGAGCACCTTCAGCTTACCTGTCTGTGAGGACCTCACCCAGAGAGTGATGGCTAACTTTGCAATCAGTCAGGAACAGAAGTAAGTGACCCTATATCTTCACCATGAAGGAAACTTAAAAAATGGAGCAGACCATTGGTTCATTCAAATGTTTACAGCTTTCTGTCCCCTGCATTTATTTCCTTGTAAAAGTTAAAGATGTACTAAACTTAAAAGTGACTCATTTATCATACCAGTCAGGTAAGCCTATAGATTTGGCCCTGTTACTCAGGCTGAGTTGTACTGTAACCCTCTGGCTTATTTTCCTTCCAGGGAAGCCCTAGGAAACCTAACTGCATTGAGTAGCGACAGTGATAGTGGCAGCAGCAGTGACAGCGACATCAGTGAAGACAAATAAAAATGGCTGATTCTGGAGCAGCTGTGGCCTGGAGTGGCTGCTGTAATCACAGAACTGAGATGCTAATATTTAGCAGTGATGTAAAGAAAATAAGAGAATATAGACACGGTGGAGTTGTTACCGTGAAGAACAGTTGATGGTAACACTGACTTAGAATAAGTGTTTAGATTAAGCTGCTAATTTGATAATTACTAAATTGTCCATTCATGCATCATTCAAGGCTTAACCATTTAAGCAGCAGCACCACCATCTTCATTTCTTTAGACACAAATCGTTCAATACATAGCTCTTCGCTTCATGATAAGTTCTGCAGATCTGCAGTGTGTGTTGGCTGATTTCCTCTTCAGTGGTTGTTTGCCCACTCCTATACCAGGGCTTCAGCTTCTGATGGCCTGATGCTATGATGCTTGATCTTAGAAAAGGTGTCAACAGAAAATTTTCATACAGTTACATTACTGCTAACTATTTGGACAGTAGTTCCCAATTTCAGTGCTTTTTACTGTAGATGTGAAAAGTTGCATCTTAGAATCAGTTACATAGGATAATGAGTATAGACTGCACAGCTGGTAAAATTGAGGCTGTAAATAAATATTATAATTAATGTACATGTGTATGAGTTTCCATTATTTTTTACAGAGCCTTTGCCTCGGTTTTCCCTTATGGGGCTTATGCACAAGTGTCTCCTTTCCCTCTTTTTTCCCTTCTAAATGCTGTGCCTTCTTTACTGGTGCTACTTAAGTGGTCCAGAATGAGGGCTTATGACAAAAAGGTGTGACTGTCTTGGCATGATTGTGTATTGCTGGTAATCAAGTTGGTCGGGTATGTGGTTCATGTTTTCTCTTGATGTCAGAGTTCAAGAAACCTCAGGGGCAAATGCCAGTATAGTAGTTAACTCTTGAAGTATTCACGTATATTGATCCATTAGCTCCTTGACATTAAATCAGAGAAGCAAAAGGGTAAATAGGACAGATCAACCTTTGATCTTGGTTTACAACTTCTAAGGAGAACCTGATTGCCAAGCATGTATGGCAGCTCAGCCAGTTCCATTCCTTCTGGTTCACTGGTACCTGCCAATACTTAGCTCCTTTCTTGGCATTAGTGCTTGACCTTAGAAGCATGTTGTACCTCTTCCTGTGTCAGGTCCTAACTGAATCATCACATTGCTCTGTAACTACAGAGTTGATGAAGAGAGTCCATCTGGACTGACAATCACAGATGTTTGTAAAATGCTACAGATATTGCTAACCCCACCTTTTGGCACATACTTGCCTCAAATAGATTGGAACTCCATTCTCTCCTATTTGTAAATGTCTATTTCACCCATTGTTGTTGTTAGGTGCCCTCAAGTCATCTCTGACTCATAGTGACCCTGTGTACAACAGAACGAAACACTGCCCAGTCCTATGCCAGCCTCACGATCCCTGGTACACCTGAGACCATCATTGCAGCCATTCCATCTTGTTGAGGGCCTTCCCCTTTTTCATTGACCTTCCACTTCACAAAGCATGATATCCTTATCCAGGGAATGGCCCCTTCTGAAAGCATGACCAAAGTAGGTGAGACAAAGTCTGGCCACTCACTTCCAAGGAACATTCCAGCTATACTTCTTCCAGCACAGGTTTGTTTGTTCTTTTGATAGTCCATGGTACTTTCAGTAGTCTTCTCCAACACAACTCAAAAGCATCAACTCTTATTAAGTGTTCCCTATTCATTGTCCAGCTCTCACATGCATATGAGGCAGTTGAAAGTACCGTGGCTTGGGTTAGGTGCACCTTAGTTTTTAAGGAGACATCCTTGTTTTCCAGCAACTTCAGTCTTTTCTCCTGCAGTGTAGTAAACTACACGATATAGCTTTTCTAGCCATAGTCTTAGTAACTCCTACTTTGCCATGAGCAGCTGAGTAGCTGATTGTTAAAGTTTTCCACCTGGTGTATTTCTTTTGGCTCAGCAGGAAGCAATCTTCTGGGAAGTTCGTGCTCTCTCTCAGGTGTATAGAATTCTGATGTTGGGATTGGTTTGGCCACTCTGCCAGGTTCAAAAGGAGCCCTCCTAGAGGCAGAAAGAGTCTCTGACTGCCAGCTGAGAGACATGCTGCTGAGAGAGAGAGACGTGCTAGTGAGGGATTGAGACTGCCAACTGCTGAGTGAGACTGCCAGCTGAGAGGGATTGAGCATGTTCCTAAACTTGAATTGTAGCCTATTACTTCTCTAATAAACCCCATAATCTGTGAGTTGTGTGTGGCTACTGCAGTGAATTATTGAACTCAGCAGAGAGATGGTGGGTGCTGTGGAAGGAACAGTTGGTGCTGGTGAGAGGGCTGGAGGGTGGCAGAATGTCTGACCTCATAGGAGCAGGCCTTGGGCTACTTACTGATGGTGATTCTGTCTTCCTTTTGTGGAGTTAGAGGAAGTCAAAAGATGCTACCTCCTTGTCCCTTTCTCATCTCTGTTTATCATAATGTTATTGGTCCAGTTGGGAGGATTTTTGTTTTCTTTATGTTGAGGTGTAATCCATATTGCAGACTATAGTTAATCTTCATCAGTAAGTGCTTCAAGTCATCCTTACTTTGCAGCAAGCAAAGTTCTGTTGTCTGCATATTGCAGGTTAGTAATGAGTCTCCCTCTACTCCTGATGGCATGCTCTTAATACATAGTCCAGGTTCTCCGATTATTTGCTGGGCATACAGATTAAATTAAGTGGTGAAAGGATACAACCCTGACACACGCCCTTCCTGATTTTAAACTATGCAGTATCCCCTTGTTCTGTTCAAACGACAGCCTTCCCGGTCTGTACAGATTCCTCACGTGCACAGTGAAGTGTTCTGGAATTCCCATTCTTCTCAATGTTATCCATAATATGTTATCCACACAATCAAATGCTTTTGCATAGTCAATAAAACACAAGGAAACATCTTTCTGGTATTCTTCCAGCCAAGATCCATCTGACATCAGCAATGATAATCCCTCATTCCACATCCTCTTCTGAATCCAGCTTGCATAGTGTTTATCGTAAAGATAGTCGTCTGTGCTTAAGGTTATGACTCTTTCATTTGGTCCTGGCTGCCCCCTTCTTCCAGCTGTAACCACAGTGTATTTTGCCTTTACTGGTTCTTCCCCTTCTGTTCATAAACTTGTCTATATGGGTTTCCTTTAGAAAATTCTAAAGTTGACCTTTTTACAACATTATGCCTTTTCCCTTGCCTCTCATGAATAGTCTATTTGTTGCCTATACTTCCTCACTGCTGTACACTTGCATACAGTATACTCAAGTACTGCACTCCTGTAAGACATTTACTGAATGAATGGCTTCCTGGTAGTGCAATAAAACCTCCTTTTTAAAAATTACTTTGATAATGCAGTTTAACATTTCTCAGCTGATGTGTAGATAGGAAAATGTATATTTACATCCTGAAACTCAAGGGAAACTTTGGGTTATTATGTTATATCCAGTCGGAACCAGATTCAAGTTGTGAAAAGCCTTAGAGAATCAGAAAGGGGTTCTGTTGCTTTGATGATGTCAGAGCTAAGGAGTAAGCATCAGCTGCATATAAAGCACTGAATGTTAAGTAGCAGGAAACAGGTTTTTGTAAATTAAGAACTTAGGACAATGAGCATTTTCTAAGTAATTGAGCATCAAAAGAGCAGATAAAAGAAGCGTGTGGAGGCTAATGGGAAGAGTCTTAAGATATGTTGAATAAACTTGTTCAGTGTTGCCTCTGAGTTAGATTGCCAAGGTATAAAAATTAGAAATGAGATTTTTGGTTTGATAGAAATTTGCACACTCTGTCAAGAAAGTAGACTTGCTATAGCTCTCTTTCAGTATTCAAAGGAACTCTGGTTGTGCAGTGCCTAAGGCATTTGCCTGCTAACCAGAAGGCTGGCAGTTCAAATCCACCAGCCACTCTGCAGAAGGAAGATGGGGCAGTGTACTTCCTTAAAGTTTATTGCCCCAGAAACCCAATGGGGGTGGGTCACTGTGAGTTGTAATCGACTCATTGGCAGTATAAGTATTCCAGCACAACACTGAATAGCCACTGAAACAGAGTTTTAATAGTGCTGCTCTGAAATGTCTACTACTGTAAGACCAAACAGACTTGGTCTAATGAATGCTACCTTCTCAGCAAAGGCTTCATTGATTTTAAGACCTTAATGTTTGTTGAATTTCTCACTTTTGGTATCCTTTGCTATATAACCACTATACCAGGCATGAGGATTAGAGGAAAAAATGTTAGATTGTGCTGTCACTGGTTATATAATCACAGTATTCTAAGTAATAGGGTAATGCCCGTCTTGCTGGTCTTGAAATCAATTTTTGTGAGTGATGACCAAAATATTTTAATAGAATACAAAATCTAAAGTTACTATTCATGACTCAGGTATATTTTTTACATTACAATAGATACTTTTATAAAAATATGCATAGATGATTATATTTTTTTCCTGATGTTCATGGTGAAAAAAATTTAAAGAACATTGAAATAGGACTGCTGTGATACTGCAGAGTCACTGAGTGTAGGCAGGGTGAGTTTCATAGAATTATCTAGACTTTAGAGGTAAAGTGACATTTTACCAGAGGAACAGGAGATACTTCATTTGGTTAGTATAAAGCAGTTTCCTAAGATCTGGGTAAATTGAATGTAACATACACAAAAGTGTGGGCTATAAGTCTTCATCTTGGCCCAGGACAGAACCTGACCCATAGAAGAATGCTGCCAAGTGAACATGCATATATATAGACAGATCAGGAATGCCTGCTGGGATCAAGCTGAAATTTACTGAGGTCAGTAAGAGTTAGGACTTGAAAACTAAGAATGTGGAAGAGGGTTAAAGGGCATGACAAAATTTAGTCCAGTCCAGATTGGTCACCAGTACCCAAGCAATGGCCCCTTCCTTGGCTTGCCTTACAGTCCTTCCAGAACCCTTCTTCATGTGGACCCCAGGGCAGTGCTGACACAGCTACAAAAACTAACAAGTCAGTGAAACCATGCCACCACCTCAGAGGGGCAAAAGTTAGAGTGGCTGGCTGACCCTCCTCTCTATCCTTCCTCTGATTTCCTACCAAGCTCAGGTTCCCTGAGTGCATCAAAGGGAAGACAACCAGAAACACTTGGACCTGGTGAAGGGTGTTAACTGATTTGCCTGACATTTAAGCATTCCTTGTATTTTCCTTTTGTGTTAAATCACATTCTTCTGTACCGAGTTCAAGAAAAGTTATTTTAAACCTGGTGGGACAACTCATTTGGGACTTGGAAACTGTTTTTATCCAGAACTTGAGAAAGCGCAAGGGATTTAAATTTATACAAAAGAATACAGTAATAGCCTGCCTTAAAGACTTGACTAAAATTTTTGTTACATTATTGATTTTGAAACTTCTGACATTAAAGAAAGATCAGAGTTGTAATGTTAACTAGGAGGCAGGAGTTTGAAAAGGTTGAGAAACTGCCCTAAAGCAATCAGCAGGGAGGCAAGAAGATAGCCCGGTTATAAGCTAAAGTAAACAGTGAAAGCAAGAAATCAGTGACTGGGCCTAACACCTGAAGTTGCAGTGGTACAACTTGTCAGGTGTACGTTCAATGAAAATATGCTGGAGTGAACTCTGGAGCATTTCTACTCTGTCCTACACAGGCACTGAGTTGGAACTGAGTCAATAGCAATGGGTTTGGGCTCAGTATGCAGCTCACATGGCCTGAACTGCAAAGATTTCTACCTATCTCCTACACCTCAGCCCTTTGGATTACCACTTCCCATTGAGGTAGAGGTGAGAATTCTGAGAAACTCGATGTATTTTGTTGAATTAACAATCTACGTATAACACTACACAATAACATTGTTCCATATCCTACTTTGGCAAGTAGCGACTGGGATCTTAAAAGCTTGCAAGTGGCCATTTAGATGCAGCGATGGGTCTCTCCTCGTCCAGAGCAAAGAATGAAGAAAACCAAAGACACATGGTTAGTTAGTCCAAGGGACTGGTACATCATGCGATCCTCAGCCTATACAACTATGAGACCAGAAGAACTAGGATGGTGCCTGGCTACCACTGTCAACCACTCAGGAGGATCTATGTAGGAGATACTGAATAGAGTAGGAGAACAATGTGGAACAGAACTCAAAATAATTAAATAAAAAAGGGCCAGTTTTGCTGGTCTGCTAGAGCCTGGTGGAACTCCTGAGACTATAGCTCCTAGCTGCCCTCCAGGTCTGGAATGGAACCCACTCCTGTGGCTTCCAGCCAAACAAAAGACAGGCATATGAGGTGAACATTTACATTAGGTAGACAACTTGGAGAGATCACTCATGGAAGAATAGAGGGGCTGTGTATGCTCAGGGGGCAGGAGTACATGGAGGGAAGGACACAGGGAAGAGGTAACTAAGGGGAGGAAGTGAGAGGGGAGCTGTTGCATTATGGGAAATTGCAGTCAATGTCTTCAGACAAAGTGTATATGAGCTGCTGTATGGAAAGTGAATTTGCTCTAAATTTTCATCCAAATCAGTTTTAAAAAAAATCTGCTTAGAACATAAGGTTAATGTCAATCCAGGCCCAAGATAGACCAAGAGATCTCAAAGGATAAGGTCAAGTAGCATGCAGTAACCTGAATGTAGTAAATCCAAATTCAGTGGCTGGCATTTACCACTTACAGAAATCTGAAATGGAATACACTCCCCCTATTTTCATGATTTGCATATGTGCTCAGGTAAAAGTGCCGCCTCATTAATCTGAACACAGAGTCACTGACTCTTAGCAACTCTATAGGCCAGCGTAGAACTGCCCCATAAGGTTTCTGAGCCTCCAGCCACTCCTCGGAAGGAAGATGGGACAATCTATTTCCGTAGTGATACTGCCTTGGAAACCCAAGGAAGGGTCGCTATGAGTCGGGTCCGACTTGATGGCACATAACAACGATCTTTACAGAGAGCAGCTCTGGTGGCACAGTGCCTAAGGTATTTGACTTAGAAGGTTGGGGGTTCAAACCCTGCCACTTCACAGAAGGAAGATGGGGCAATCTACTTCTGTAGAGATACCACCTCAGAAACCCAGTGGGAGTCACTATGAGTCAGAATCCACTCAATGGCAGTGGGTTTGTAATCTTTATAAAAGAAGCAGACTGCCAAACCTTTCTCTTACAGACCAGCTGGTGTGTTCAAACCACTGACTTTTCAGTTACCAACTGAGTGCTTCAAATTGCACTACCAGGGCTCCCCAACAAACAACTATAATTTTGAAAAAATAGTGATTTCATGTACAGTAGGTGGTCTTCATGGAGTACAAATAAATGAGTATGTTAAAATCTGTGTTTATCCAAGATGGCAATCGCCCTAACCTTCAGAAAGTTAGGCAGAAGAGATCCTCTGGGTCTCATGGCAATCCAGATTAAATACAGAATGTTATTCAGTCCCTTTGTGGAAATTCCAGGCTTACCACCCTCATTTCTGTAAAGCGGTTCACAGTCCAGGTATCAGAAAGGATCATGGCCAATTGCCAGTGCTACAGAACAGCCCAACTTTTTTTTTTTTTTTTTTAAATGATGCAAAATAGAAAACAGCATCACAAGTAGAAAGGGTAAGCACTGGCTCAAGAAATTGTTTCACTTACATATGCACACAGGTGTGCTTGCACAGGACCCCAACATAAAACACTTGTTTTTTTCCTATAAATAGCAATGAAAGAAGTTTGGATACATACTATTTATACCTCCATGAACAACTGAAGAGTAGCTCCTGATCCTTAAAGTTATCCACCTGGGGTATTTCTGTTGAGTGGCACAAAGCAATCTTCTGGGAAGTTCTCTCTCAGGTGTGTAACATTCTGACGTTGGGATTGGTTTGGCCACTCTGCCAGGCTCAAAAGGAGCCCTCCTAGAGGCAGAAGGAATCTCACTGCCAGCTGAGAGATGCGAGGGACACATTCTGCAGGGATAGAAACTAAGAGAGACTGTCGGCTGAGAGACAGTAGGCTGAGAGAAACTAAGCCTGTTGCTTCCCTAATAAACCCCATCATCTTTTGAGTTCTATGTGGCCACTGTAGCAGATTACTGAACCCAGCAAGAAAGGTGGTGGGTAAACGACTGGTGTCAGGGTTGGTAAAAAAGGCTGAAGGGAGGCAGCATCATGTCTAGCCTTACAGGAACAGGCCTTGGGCTACTGATGGTGATTCTGTCTTCCTCTTCTGGGGTTAGAGGAGGTCAGAAGATGGCACCTCCCTGCCCATTTGGCAGGCTGCTTTTCAAGGAAATTTTCTGCACACACAACAAACTAGAAATGGTACTTTGTGCAAAGGGATAAGGCACTCGATTTTCATCTTGTTGCTTTATTCAGTTTGCTCCAAGGGCAAAAATCAATAGTAGGGATCACAAACATTATTTTGATTGGCTCACAAGCCTGATCAGTAAAACCTGAAAAACAGAAAATGTTACACAAGTTGCAAAGAAAGCACTCTTGGAGTTCACTGACATGATAGCAAGTGGAAATAATATAACTGCAACAGGTGTTAACATTTAGCCCAGTATCTGTAACCTGCTCATTTCTAGACAATTCTGGGACCCTTGCTGCAAAGCCCTCATAAACGTATCACTGCTGATTTCCCTTGATATGAAATGTGACTTTACAAAAACTCTTCTCAGACCTTATTCTTGCTTCACTTGAGTGGTTCCTATTCCTACGGCGCTGGCGTATGCTGTCAGGATTTCCACTATCTGTTTAGTTTCTAGGGTCATTCGGGCTTCATGCAGCCAGTCCTGTGCCACTCGTCTGGACTCTCCTTTCAGCTGATTGACAAACTTTGCTGCCAGCTCCAGATCTCCATGCTCAATGCAATAGGAGGCATATGACAATAACTTAAATGTATTTATATCCTCAGGGCAGAGCTCCGGTGGTGGCTTCAGCTGCTTAGGCGGAAATAGGAGCAGGGACTGCAAGTAGGAGAGGAAGTATTGGTATAAGCTATTTCTGGTTTCATCAATCATTGCTACCCTCCGGGCCAGTTTCTGGACAGCATAGAAACGGGCTCTAAGGGTCTCTTCACTGTACACCCCACGGGTCAGGGACTCTGGAGGTATAGCTGCGGTTAAAGCCTGGGTAAATTCATTATCAGAACAGTTGATTCTGATGGCCTCAACTGCACTGCCCAACGGGACAGTGGGCAGATCTGCAGATGCCGTCTTCATGCTGTACTTTAATGCTTCAACTGAAAGCCAAAGTTGGTGGGCTCTTCTGGCCTCCTCTTCAGCAACGGCATGACCTAAAAAGAATAAATAAATAAAAAGGCAAAAGACAAACATATTTCTCTCCACCTGACACTATAGATAGTTCTGATACATCTAGAGATCGGATGCATAAATGGACATGCTAAACCCACACAAGTGGAATATGGGCAGGGCCAGAGAGGAAGAAAGGCTTTTATAACCACACCCCAGCACTGATATCTGGTGTGTACTTTCCAACGGGCCTCTTCATATAAGGCAACAAGGCAAGATACCCCTTGATAGTGAAGACTTGCTTTTACTAAAGCCATGGGGAGAGGTGCATGTATGTGCACGAATATAACCCTCTTTGCATGACCAGAACACCCAGAACAACACAGGGTAGAGAGCCTATGTAAGTCATTCACATGTACATGGTATCTAATTCAGGTATCTTCAACAGCTGAGAAAGGAAGACGTTATTAAATTAAATTACAACTTAGGCTAAGGCCACAAGAAACTCCGCAAAGGAGAATGAACTTAGTGAACTACTGAATCTTGAAATCCCAGGAGTATTCAGCTTATTTGTATAGTTTTCTGATAAAAGAAATTCTGTAACATCCCTAAGAAGCCCATCGTATCAACACCCTGTCAAGACATTGCCCTTTCAATCTGGCACATGGAGACCTCAACATCACTACTGTCCATTTAGTGGGGGATTAAGCAAACCACGCCCTTCAGGTGACACTCCAGCATCTGTAGACAGAGCCTGTGGAGGGGAAGCTTGAAGCCACACTGACCTTCATCTCCAAGGCCCATGAGATAAAACCAATGGGTGCTGGGTGAACTGCTCATAAATGGTGATCTCATTTGTCATCTCAGTAAGACATCAAGTTATTTAGGTTTAATTTTAGACCCTTTTGTTAAATTTCCTTCTACAACTCCTTTTGCTATATTCCACATGCATCAAATCTGGGTCCAGTTTCCAGAAGATGATTAAAATTTAGTTAAGAGATTTCAGTATCTTTATGCCCTGATGTCAGTGCATATATCCCATTATCCTCACAACAAGTAATTATCCTAAGTAGTCACACTGAATAACAATCTATAGAAGTCCATGTGCTCACTTTGAACAGCCTGTTCGATTCCTCTCAGTCTGGCATAGGCAGTGTTTATATCCAGAGTAAAGTTGTCAACCTGCTCTTGACTGAGACGACGATACTGTAGTTCTTGTTCAGCAAGTTTCTCAGACATGTCCTGAAAGAAACACAGGGTACAGAAAACAGCGATGTTACCTCAATGCACACTACTTATCTGGATGCATTTTCCAGCAACTGCGACCCCCCCAGAAACAAAAAGGACCTTTGAAATATCAAAGCAGTTATAATGAAACTCCTAAATTATGTGTAAGGTTTCAAAAACTTCCTGACTTGATGTGTAATTTGATGTATATAACTCTCCACAAATTTACTGATGGAAACTAATTTAGAGGAAGCAGACCAGGAAGAGAAGAGAGAAGGCTGTTAAAGTCAGAAACAAACTGCCAACTTCAGAAAGTAAAGTAACTGTACTGCAACCCAAACATAATAATTTGATTAAATTACAGTCCATGTCCTAATAATAAAACATTCACTTTTCTCAATAAGTATCCATTAATTAGAATTTAAAATAAAAAACAATTTCGTATTAGCATCAATTTCAATTTTCTGGAATATTTCCTTACTTGAAAAATCTATAGATGACTTGCTAAGAAGAAACGTATTATGACTAAAAGTTTCCCAATGAACTGTGATTTCCAAACTTAACCTCTCTGGGAAGTTTCCTCAGTTATGAAATCAGAGCGTAATTCACAGGCATTTGCACAGATGAAGTAGGATGACACATGTCAGATACTACTGACTACATTCCTGAAACTCCCCCAGTGTGCCAACCACATATGTGCACCTTTATATAACAAGGGCCAGTTCTGCAGACAGAGAAAAGCCCCACTCCACCCAGGCAATGTAACATTAGAATGCTTTCCCCTTTCTTCCATATCCACAGGGAGAATGACATACAGAATGCGTTAAAGGGAAAGGAGAGCCTATTAATAATGGAAGGGGAGTCAATGCTTTACAATAGGGCCTCACCTTCTCAAATTCATATTTCAGTTCCTGTTCTTGTACCCTAAGGACATCTCGTAAGTGATCGGTGTGGGCAGCAGCCTGTCGGCGGAGCTGGGTTCTCATTTCAATTTCCATGGCGTCTCGGACTTCTTCTACCTACAAAAGCAAACACAGTAAGGACTGGTTCTCAATTCTTCCAGTATGCTTTTAGGAAAAGAGAGAGACTATTAACAACAATGCTGACAGCTTCCAAGTGGCCGGCATGTGGACACATTTTTTACTCCTAATTCTTAACATAAATCAGAAAGATGAAAGTTGAAAGCTGAATCAAACAAGCTTATACATCTGTGGCCAAATCAGATTTCAAACAGGGGTTCTCTGGCCCCACATCCCCAAGCTGCCTCTCACACAAAGCAAAAACACTGTCACTGCTCCCCAGAGATGTAACTAATTTCACATATGGAGAAAACTAACTAAAAAGACTTAGGATCAAACGCAGCTTCCTCATGACCAACCTGCGTGATGTCAAAGAAATTATTTACCTTCTCAAATCTCCATTTTCTCATCTGTGAATAGTAATGCCTACTTTGAAGAATTGTTAAGAAAATTAAATAAGTATCTGGCATTACTGAACATAATTTCCTTCAAACAAATCTGCTTTGAAACTGAAAATATGAAAAAGCCAATCATGTCTTGCTTAATAATTAATGACGGGTTATATTACAAATTATCTAACACTGAGTACATGGAATTCAGAACTTACACTTTCTCAGAAAAAAACAATGAATGAATCCATTCATTCAGTCTGTACATAAATATTTATGAAGTGCCATGACTATGCCTGCTATTTGCTTGGATGCAATGGTGCTCAAGACAGACAGGTTCTTGCTCTCTGAAAGTGAACATCTGAATGTGGGGAGTGAGCAGTAAACAAAAAGGGCATCTCAAACTGTGATACTTGGTCTTATGAAAATATATAGGGCGATGTGGTAAGATACAGGGGGCTCTACTTTAGATTAAGAGGAGAGGACAGGAAAGGATTTGCTGAGAGAGTGACTATCAAGGTGAGAACTAAGGTTTAAAGAGAAGCAACTTGTGTGTGGTACCTAAACAAGATACCAGGTAGGGCAAGCACAGAAGTTCCATGGAGAAAGGTAGAGTCAAGGCACAGAAAAAATACCAGTAAGCCTGGAAGACTGACATGAGACCTTGGCTCATGGCAGGCAGAAATGAGACCTAGTCCTTTCTGGTATTGGTTAAGAATTTGGATTTTGCATTAAATGTAGTGGGTAGTCAGTGGAGGATTTTACACAGCCTAGTGTCTGACCAAAATTATGTTGTATAAGGTCCAACTGGCTGTGTTAAGATATAGAAAGATCAGTATGAGGGTAGAGGAACCTCTTGAGAGGCTGTTAATAATAGATCTAGAAAGATGAATATAAAAACAGGAAACCTATTGAATAATAGCTGGACTAATGATGGAGAAAAGTGGACAGATTTAAAATTTACCTCAGATGCACTACTGGCAGTATCTGCTGGTGGTCTAGATGTGAGTGATGGAGCAACCACCAAACATGATTTCTGGCTTGAGCAACTGAGTAGCTGGTTGTTTACTTACAGGGAGAAGCCTGCTGAGGAACTGGGAGACAGGCTAAAGAGAATCAAGAAATGTGTTCTGTACATGCTGAGTTTGAAATAACTACTGAAAATCCAGTGAAAGATATCAAGTTGGAACCTGAAGCCAAGGCAGAAGCCAAAGCTAGAGATATCAATGTTACAGATGAACTTCAAAGCAATAGGACTAGATAAGATCACTTTGAAATATTTGAGATATTAAGAGGTTTCAGAACCAATGGCCAGGGCATGCTGACATTTAAGAAGAAGAACAGGGAAGGAGGTCGCGGAGTGGCCAGCAGGTGGAAGAAAGGCCAAAAGAGTGAGGTGTCCTAGTGGCCAAGAGGGGAAAGCGCTTCAAGGAGGAAGTGGTCAACTGTGCTACCGAGAGAACACGAAGGTGGGAAGCACAGCCAGGTTTCCAAATCCCCATGGACACCTATTTCATACATGATGTACCCAGAGTGTGCTAAAAGCTATTCCATCCATTCTTAAACCATCTACTACTTATAACACTGTCAGTGGGAAAACACTCAGAATCCAACAGTTTCTTGCGGAACTCCATTAGGGGAGAGGTTTCACTGGGAACTGAGTTAGATAATATTCCTGGTCATCAGTAGTATTGTTTTCTTACACCTCTGAATCTGCTCAAAAAAAGAAATTCTGCCAGTTCAATCCTTCCCCAGGAGTTTTGACTAGAAGAACAAAGGCCAAAGTTCTACTCTGTAGGTACTTTGGCATGACTTACACCCAGTATTTTCCTAAAGTCAGTGACTTCAATATTATCTCTACAAAGAGACAATCAAGTAAGAGTCACTTTAAACATTAGGCATTCTTCTCATCTCTGTACCTTTCTGTCCTGTTCAGCCACTATTTCATTTCTGTGACGTTCTAATGCTTTTGCCACCGCAGAGTCAAATGCCCGCTTTTCTTCCAGCTTCTGTTTTTCCAAGGCTAATGCAATGTGCTGCTTCTCTGTGGCTTTCTGTTCTGCTAGCTCTCTGTTTAGCTGGTCAATGCGACGGTGTGCGTGAGCAATTAGGGAGTTCAGATCATCGGTAGACAGCTTGTCAGCTGAAAAGAACATCACATTAAAATTAATGATTTTCCCAAAACTATGTATCACAAGATAAACTGCTTCTATTATTTGTAATTTAATTTTAAGAGCTATAAAGAAAGGCAAAAAGCAGCTCAGAAATGAAAAGCGATTTAGATTCTCTAGTTCAGTCAGAAATTCATAGCTAGTGTCCAACAATAAGGTGTTTCTAATCTCAAGTAAAATAATTTAGGTAGGCCTTGAAGCCATATAATCAGTTCTTTTCCAGGAGCCCAAAGTTGTACTTCACGTACAAATTTAATTATAAATTCGTTTTATACCTCACAATAATTGTCTCTTAAGGACAAAGCTGCCATAAGCGGCCACTTCTATTTTCTTTCACATATTACTATGATTAGTCATAATAGGCATCCAATTACAGATTCTCTTCCACTAAATTCTAATCAAATTTTCTCAGAGTTTTCCCCAACAGGAGTTTTTGTTCCTTCTCTTAAATAGGTATTATCTAGGATAGTGATGTGCAATAAGAACTGTCCATCAGAATCCCCTATCAACCTTTTTAAAATCCTCAAGATTCTGATATTAGCCTTAAACACATGTACTTCTTTTAAACTTCACATCTAGTTAACAATTATAGCTCTGTTGACAAAATACAAAATGTGGGAAATTCTACATGACAAATGACTCAAATCACTGATAAACAAATTGAAAATAAATAAATAAAAGATACTGACCAAATTCAATGTATATAAGAACTATGGATATTGAATTTGAATAAACTATAAAAGCCCACTTTATGGACAACTGAGCAGATCTAAACACTGAATGTGCATGTGAGGGCACCGAGGAACAATTATGTTTCAGCTGTGCTATAGTATGGTGCTTATGTTTTAGAAAACATACTGGAAGTATTTCCAAATGAAAGGATATACTACTTAAGATTTGCTTAGATGTAAGTTGTGGGAGAGGGCAGTGGGAACAGATGAAACAAATCTGGTCATGTTTTGATTGATAGTTGCTGGAGTTGGGTAAACAGTCTATACAAGTTCATTACTCATTACACTTTTCTTCTTAACCAAAATTAAAAGTAAAAAAAAAATATGTATATATTATAACACCTCAGAAACCCAAGAAGGGATCACTATGAGTTGGGTCCAACTCGACAGCACATAACAACAACAAAAAAATGTATTTTACATACACACAGACACACATATCATATCTACATGTCTCCAATCACTGAAAGCACACAGATGACAAAAAGATCCACTTTAGATTTATCACGACAGAATTCTGTTGTTGTTGCTGCTGTTGTTGTTGTTAGGTGCCATCAAGTCATGTCTGACTCATAGTGACCCTATGCACAGCAGAATGAAACACCACCTGGTCCCACACCAGCTCCAAGATCCTTGCTATACTTGAGCTCATCGTTGCAGCCACTGTGTCACTCCATCTCATTGAGGGCCTTCCCTTCTTTCATCGACCCTCCGCCTTACCAAGCATAACATCCTTCTCCTGGGAACGGTCCCTTCTGACAAGATGACCAAAGTAGGTGAGACAAAGTCTGGCCATTCTCGCTTCCAAAGAGCATTCTGGCTGTACTTCCTCCAGGACACATCTGTTAGTTCTTTTAGCAGTCCACAGTACAGTCAGCATTCTTCGCCAGCACCACAACTCAAAAGCATCAATTCTCCTTCAGTCTTCCTTATTCATTGTCCAGCTCTCACATGCATATGAGGCAACTGAAAATATCATGGCTTGTGTCAGGTGCACCTTAGTCCTCAAGGAGACATCCTTGCTCCTCAGCACTTGAAAGAGGTCCCTTCCTGCCCAGTGCTATATATCGTCTAATGTCCTCACTGATGCTTCCCTTGGCATCAATTGTAGAACCAAGCAATGTGAAGTCTTTGACAACTTCAATCTTTTCTCCATTCACCATGATGCTGCTCACAGGTCCAGTTGTGAGGATTTTTGTTTTCTTTATGTTGAGATGTAATCCATACTGCACACTGGATTATTCAATGTTAATCAATAAGTGCCTCAAGTCATCCTCACTTTCAGGAAGCAAAGCTGTGTCATCAGCGTATTGCAGGCTGTTAATGACTCTTCCTCCAGTCTTGATGCCACATTCTTCTTCATATACTCCAGCTTCTCAGATTATTTGCTCAGCATACAGATTGAATAAGCATGAGGAAAGGATACAACCCTGACACACTACCTTCTTGATTTTAAACCATGCAGTGTCCCCTTGTTCTGTTAGAACAACAGCCTCCTGGTCAAGGTACAGGTTCCTCTTGAACATAATCAAGTGTTCTGGAATTCCCATTCTTCTCAATGTCATCCACAATTTGTTATGATCTACACAATCAAATGCCTTTGCATAGTCAATAAAACACAAGTAAACATCTTTCTGGTATTTTCTGCTTTGACCCAGGATCCATCTGACAGCAGCGATGATATCCCTTGTTCCACATCCTCTTTTGAAGCCAGCTTGCACTCTGGAAGTTCTCTGTCAATATATTGCTACAACCATCTTTCAGTTATCTTCAGTAAGATCTTACTTGCATGCAGTATTAATGATATTGTTTGGTAATTTCCACATTCTGTGGGATCACCTTTCTTTGGAATGGGTACAAATATGGATCTCTTCCAGTCAGTTAGCCAGGTGGCTGTTTTCTAAATCTCTTGGCATAATTGAGTGAGTGCCTCCAGTGGGGGATCTGTTTGTTGAAACATCTCAATGGGTATTCCGTCAATTCCTGGAGCCTTGTTCTTCACCAATTCCTTCACAGTGCAGCTTCGACTTCTTCCTTCAGTACCATTGGTTCTAGATCATATGGCACCTCCTGAAATGGATGAAGATCTACCAGTTCTTTTTGGTACAGTGACTATGTATTCCTTCCATCTTCTTTTGATGTTTCCTGCATCATTCAATATTTTGCCCACAGAATTTTTTCAATATTTCAACTCAAGGATTAAATTTTTTCTTCAATTCTCAGCTTGAGAAATGCTGAGTGTGTTCTTCCCTTTTGGTTCTCAAACTCCAGGTCTTTGCACATTTCATTATGGTAATTGGCTTTGTCTGCTCAAGCTGCTCTTTGAAATCTTCTGTTCAGCTCTTTTATCTTGTCATTTCTTCCATTTGCTTTAGCTACTCTCCGCTCAAGGGTAAGTTTCAGAGTCTCCTCTGTCATCCATTTTGGTCTTTTCTTCTTTTCTCATCTTTTTAGTGACTTCTTGCTTTCTTCATGGATGATGTTCTTGATGTCATCCCACAATTCTTCCGGTTTTCAGTCACTGGCATTCAATGCATCAAATCTATTCTTTAGATGGTCTCTAAATTCAGGAGGGAGAATTCAAGATATTTTGGCTCTCGTGGACTTGTTTTAATTGTCTTTAATTTCAAGTTGAACTTGCATATGAGCAGTTGATGGTCTGTTCCACAATCAGCTCCTGGCCTGGTCTTGGCTGAAGATATTGAGCTTCTCCACCGCCTCTGACCACAGATGTGGTCATTCTGATTCCTGTATATTCCATCTGGTGAAGTCCACATGTAGAGCCATTTGTGTTGTTGAAAAAAACTATTTGCAATGAATAAGTTGTTGGTCTTGCAAAATTCTATCATGCGATTTCCAGCATCATTTCTGTCACCAAGGCCAAATATTCCAACTACCAATGATTTTTCTTTGTTTCCAACTTTTGCATTCCAGTCACCAGTGATAATTAACACATCCTGATTGCATGTTTGGTCAATTTCAGACTGCAGAAGCTGATAAAAATCTTTAATTTCCTCATCTTTGGCTTTGGTAGTTGGTACATAAATTTGAATAACAGTTGTATTAACTGGTCTTCCTTGTGTTGTTGTTGTTGTCATGTGCCGTCGAGTCGGATCCAACTCATAGCGACCCCTCCTTGGGTTTCTGAGGTAGTGTCACTACGGACGTAGATTGCCCCATCTTCCTTCCAAGGGTCTTCCTTATAGGTGTATGGATATTATCCTATCACTGACAGCATTGTACTTCAGGGCAGATCTTGAAACATCCTTTGTGATGATGAATGCCATGCCATTCCCCTTCAATTTGTCATTCCCGGCATAGTAGACCACATGGTGGTCTGATTCAAAATGGCTAAAACCAGTCCATTTCAGCTCACTAATGCCTAGGATATCAATCTTTATGCATTCCATTTCATTTTTGACAACTTCCAATTTTCCTAGATTCATGCTTCATACATTCCATGTTTCGATTATTAATGGATGTTGCAGCTGTTTCTCCTCAATTTGAGTCATGCCATTGGAGGTCTCAAAAGCTTTACTTTATCCATATCAATTAAGGCTGGTTCTACTCTGATGATGCAGCTCTTTCCTGGTCCTATTTTGAGAGCCTTCCGACCTAAGTGGCTTATCCTCCTGCACTATATTGGACAATGTTTCTGGGCTATTCATAAAGTTGCATAGTTATGTATGAAACAGTGTTTCTTTGATATTCATAAGGTTTTCCCTGGCCAATTCTTTGAGAAGTGGATGGCCTCTTCCTCCTTCCTAGTCTGTCTCAGTCTGTAAGCTGTTGAAATCTGTGCACCATGTGCAATCCTACTGGGTTTGAGACACCGGTGGCACAGCCTCAAGCCTCATAGCAACACACCACCACAGTAGGACAAACTGGCAGACAAGTTTGTCTCCCTTAGCTGTTCAAAACCTCTCCACCCTCCCCACCCTCCCCTTTTCATAGATTCCTGCCTCTTTGCCACCACTTGGAAGGGCCGTGGTCTGGATCCCTGCCTCTGCTTCCTCGCTCTGTCCTGGCTTTTTCTCTGCTTTTCCGTCACTTGGGTGGGGGTGGACCAGGACAGAATTCTACTTTATATTATTTAGATACAATAAGAAGCATCACTAAACAGACAAACTCTAGTCTTTTAAGACTCAAAACAAAAGCCTTTAAGAGTACAATACACATAATTACTCACCTAGGTCAGAAATACCTGCAAAGAGAAAGCAAAAAAGTCTTTTTAAAAAAGAATATACATATTTCAGTTACTGACAATTAAATAGGAATATCAAAGGAAGTAAGTAAAGAACCGGACACTGGTAGCAGAAAAAGCATATTTTAATACTGAAAACCAATATAGAGTTCCTTTCCTAAAACTTAAAAAGATTCTAGAACAATACAGATCAAGGTAAAGTCTAACATTTTCAGAAAATGAGAGTAGATGATACTGAAAAGTAGTCTGGACTTTAAGGGACTCCATTCTATTTTCCCAAAACAATCAACTTAGTTTTTTAATAGAAATTACAACTTTTATCCTCCTATTTATATCAGTTTTTATAGTATTTCAAAGTTACATAATTGCAATAACAAACAGAAGTGGTTTAAACAGACCTAGGAACAAGCCCACCTGACTCTTGGTCAACCTAAACTCCAACTGGCAGATGCAGAAAGGAGAGGCCTGGCCTTCAACTGGCTGCTCTGCCTTTAGGCATCAGGAGCCACCTCAATCACACAAAAATGAATTTTCCTTCCTTATTACCATCTCATCACTCTTGGCCTCAAAAGCCTGAAAGGGTGTCTAATGCTGCTGATATAAATCAGTCAGAGAGCCATGTGACCTCGTAAGCAAGAACAGAATCTTGGCTTTCTCTCCTAAAAACTGTACAATCTTGGGCAATTTACTTAACTTCTGTGTCTCAGTTTTCTCATCTATAAAATGGGGATAATAAAACCACAGGGCTGTTGTGACCTTTAAGTAAGTAAGTACATAGAAAATGCTTAGAACACAGTGCCATATACAAAATGCTGTTCAATAATGTTAGCTATTATCATTATGTGTCTGGTTCTGTGCTCAGTTACGGAAGAACGGAGAGGCACTACTGGACACAATGCTATCACCAGGATAGTCACAATTTAGAGAACTGAGACTAATGAGAGCGAAATAACTGACAACAGAAACGATACAGACAGGATTTGGTGTAGGTCTCAAGTGCCTTCAGATTTCAGAGGCAAGGACATCTGCTGAGGGCTGGGGGTAATCAAAGAACAATTCCCATCTCCAGAGAAACCAGTAACACTGATTCGGAGAAGGAAAATTGTGTGGTTTGTGAGCAGGGGTGTGAAAGAACCTTTTCACCAGATACCTTCTATACCTTTCAAATTTTGTATCATGTGAAGGTGTTATCTATTTAAAATGTTAGCAAAAATATAAATGGAGGTTGCTTCCCCTCCAAAGGTTCAGAGATTGCCTTGTAGAGGCCCTTGACTTTCTACATGATCCATTTCTTTAATGTAGGGTTTCTCAATCTTCAACTACTGACATTTTATGTAGGATAATTTAGCAGGACCCCTGGCTTCTACCACTAGATGTTAATAGTACAGTTGTGGCAACCAAATGTGTCTCCAGACACTGCTAACTGTCTTCAGAAAGTAAAACTGCCCTGGGGTGAGAACTACTGCTTTAACTTGTTCATGTTTTCAAACAGGCATTTTCAAAATCAGGCAAAAAAACTTAAAATCTTCAGAGACTGGCCTGGAAAAATTAGTAGGAGTTAGCCAGGTAGGGAGAACAAAGACAGGTATTTAAGATGATAAAATGCAAATGATTAGGGTTGGCACAACTAATCCTCTATAGGCAAAGCCAGTCCTGCCCTTTCAACCTCATTTCTTTTTATTTCAGCCAACCTAGACTCCCTGCTTTAGATCAAATGTCACGTGTATGCCAAGCAGCTTACACCTAACAGACAACAAATATACAACCAGTGATTATGAATTTCAAGAGAATAAAACAGGGTAATGTGGTAGTGACTTGTGGGAGAAGGTGGTCAGGGAAGGTATCTTCTGAGGCAGTTACATCTGTTTCAGTTGTAACCTCGAAGCACAGCCCATGAGAAATTCCAATGGGAGAAATGGGGCAGATGTGGCTTAACCCAGCCTGCTCAAGGATAGACTATCAACACTGACCTCCTCTGCTAGATGCTAGCTAACTTTTAAACAACTATGTATAATCAAGGCTCACGGTTCCCACACTAGTATGATTGTGTCCAGTTTTTCTTATAAATTCTCTTTTCTCGTAAGAGTCTAACAGGGGTCTCCCTCTTAAGTGAGTCAGCTGCATACAAAATTCTAATTAAATGTTCCAGAGGTACTTTGTGGTTGGCCTGACTCTACCTCTTATGTGATTAACTCTCTCTGACTGGCCAGTATACAGATAAAATTTCCATACTGATTTTATTATCTTACCTACAGGCTTCCATGATGCAACCCAAACACCTCCAGGTCAGAGAGGCATGTAACAGTCAGTGCTTTGGATTCTATATTATGTTCAATTTGCTGACATTTAAATAGAATTTTAACTTGGCAGAGATCAGTAGTCTCTGATTCTCAGTATCTTCACAGCTATCAGGGAAATGTGACTATCTCCTACAGTTGCAGCATGTAATTGCTTAACCTTAACCAGCAAATTCCCTGCAGTTTGAGTTATTGGACAATCTACAGCCACACAATGATGCTACTAGTGTCCCTAGATGAGTTCTCAACCTCAGTGTCTGAGATCAGCCATAGGGTGTCCCACTGTTGTCGTCAGCTGCTGCTGCATCCACTCATAGCACCCCACACACAACACAACAAAACGAAATGCTGCCCGGTCCTGTGTCATCCTCGTGACCAGCTGCAGGCTGACTGCCGTGATTCACAGGGTTTTCACTGGCTACTTTTCAGCAGTGGATTCTCAGGCCTTTCTTCCTGGTCCAACTCTGTTTGGAAATTTTGCTGAAATCTGTTCAGCATCATAGCAAGTTTCTAATGACACGGATGGTGGCTATGATAAGATACACTGACTGAGCCCACAAGGAAGTGAGAACTCTAGCACTGAACCACCAATGTCACCAAGGTGTGCCATAAGTAATTCAATACAGATATTGTTAAAGTACAAAAGCTTTTGAATAATTGAACACAGACATATTATCTTAGAGTCAAGGTTAAAATGTCACTCTCACTCACTTGGATTACAAATTTTTTCTAAGTAGCAGAGATCGGCAAGAAATTATGGATTATGAAATTACACACTGGAACTCATGTTCACTGTGGCTATAATCATGAGAGTGCTGTCATCATATCCTGGTGTCATGTTGACTGTTGCTGAAAACGCTGACAACACTGCACTGTACAAATGACAGGTACGTGTGCAAAAGGGGTTTGGACTAGATGAATGATGTTAAAGTAGGTTTACATTAGTTGATCACTTACTGATCAGTTATTAAAAATGAATGAAGTACCAATACTTCAGCTATACTTACTCATTCCTTTCCACCCCGGCAGTACTTCTGGAGTAATACTCTCCAGCTCTCGTTTGAAGTCATCCCGGGCTTGGACGACCAAGTCATGATACTGAGATACAACCTTAGCCTCCGACTGAGCTGCCTGGACCTAAACAAATACAAAGGGTACGTGGTTAAACTGAACAAATATACAGTACATATATTAACAAATACAAGTCATATTTATTTAGTGAGTTGGTTGTGAGTGCACAGACAATACATACATAGAGATCTAAAGCTCATGGAAACCACTCCTACAGATCACACAACTACAGACAGGGAGATTTCTCTTTCATTTAGTTCCAAAACGTCAATTTTCATAAGTGGTAACAACCAAAGCCCCCTCCCCCAAAAAAAGTTACTTATAATCACAGAAATTATCAATAATACAAACAATCTACTCAGTGTCCAAGGCAACAAGGGATGAGATGGTAGGAATCTTATTTTCTTGAATTCTTAAAAGCCTTTGACTAAAGGATTTTTTTTTTAATATATAATAATTGTGAAAGACTTAAAAGACACACCTTTTGGACCACATTATCCAGATCAACAATCATACTGTGAAGCTTCCCTTCTGCAGCAGTTATATGAGGTTTGGCCCCCGCAATCTCCTTTTTCTTCGCATTTTCAATTACACTTTTCATCTTCTCTAATTCTTCTCTGGAAACCAGTAAAACACAACAAAGATTTAGTATAATTCCTTGCCAACTTTATTCAAAAGGGTTTTGAAGGTTGAAGGTTTTGAAGGTTGTACATCTAATTTTTAAAATCCTATGAAAGAAATATAGTCTGAAAAAATTGCTCAACACCTTTTTTTCTGGACCCTACTGATATAGTTTTTCTCACCAACTGAAAAGCACTGTGAACAGAAGTGAATCAGAGGCAGCATGATGGATAAGGAAATACACGGGCTTTAAAACCTGAAAGACTTGAATTAACTCCCAGATAAGCCTCTCATATGCTGCACAAGCTCATGCAGGGATTAGAGGCAATTCAGAAGAACCTGGTACAGTGCCTATACTACATTGTGCGCCCACAATAAATGGCAGTTCTTGCAAGCAATGTCCTGGTTCTCAGTAGCCTTCCAATCAAGAGAGCTCAATTAAGGCCACAGATGTCAATCAGCAAGTAGCTGGTCTCGGGGAGAACTTCATGATTCCTAACACTATACAAGTTAAATGGACTGTAGTCTGTCTACTGCAAAACATAGAATTCAGAGTCCAGACTCAAGGACTAGTGATATCAGCACAATGCCTTAAATATCCTCAAAGTTATGTTTGTTCTACTAGAAGGCTTCATTTTTTGTCTACTGATAATAAACATTGTTCAATTTGGTGGTTGGGGCATAAATTTGAATAACAGTCATATTAACCGAGCTGATTGTGGAACAGACCATCAACTGCTCATATGCAAATTCAACTTGAAGTTAAAGACAATTAAAACAAGTCCAAGAGAGACAAAGTATGATCTCAAATATATCCCTCCTGAATTTAGAGATCATCTA